CGGCCTGCGGGCCCCTCTCTTCCCAGTGCAGGCCGTGGACAGGTCTGCCACGGCGAGGAACAAAAAGGACGCCTCCAAGCTCGCGCGCAGCGCCAGCCCGATTAATGCCAGGGAATGCGCGGCATGCTGCCCGCGCGCGTGGGCGCGCGGATCGGCCCCTGGAAGTGCTCGACCTCGCCGGCGGCCTTGTCCAGGATGCCGATAAGCAGATCGCGCGCGTCGCGGCGAACCCTCTGGACCGTGAGGAGGTCGACGGCGCCGTGCGAGCAGGGCAGGCGCGCGCACGTCTCAAGCGCATTCCACACGGGGCCTGGGCCCGCGTGGAGAAGCATGTTGGCGCGCCCATCTTGGACACCTTGGAGGGCCACGGTGACAGCGCCACGAGGGGCTTGACGGGCCCGCCTGTGCTCGTTGAACCTCGCACGTCGGGGCCTTCATTTTTCGTGTCGTGGCAACGAGATAATCCGAACAGGATTGCAACTTCCGCGCGGCAGGGACACCGCCGCCGCGTCGCGCCAGGGGCGCGCCACCTGGGAAGGCGATTGGGCGCGGCATCTGGGAAGGCATTTGGGAAGGCGATCGGGAAGCCGTTTTGGCATCAGGCTTTCTGTCCATGGTCCGCGGCCGTGGCCTCATGAGGTTTGGCGCGCTTTTCTTTCGCCCGATGTCTCCTGGGCGCCATTCTGGATTGCGGCCGTCGCGAGGTCGGCAACAACGGCAAACAGGGCGACGACGACGACTGGTGGCTCGACCTCGAATCACGTCCTCCTATTGTGCGCGACGCGCAGCGAGGACATGCTGACGCGCGCTCCCCCCGCCGAGTTCCTCTTGCGGGAGCCGCCCGCGGGCCTGCGCGCGCAGCCGAACAAAAAATCCTGGCTCGCGCGGGGGCCTGCGGGGAGACGGCCAGGGCCCTCGCCGCGAAGCTGGGCTTTGAGGATTTCTGCCGCGCGGCCGAAGCCTGAGCCGCCGGCCAGGGAATCGCGAGCTCGGGGCGCTATGGCGCCGCCCCTTGCCAAGACTTCTGCGCGTTGCGCTGGAGCCACTGTGAGCTTTTTAGAATGACCATGTCTCATGTTTCCTTTGGCCTTGCCCTCGTGCTTCGCGCCGCGTGCATGGTTGACTTCCCGCGTGAAACGTGAGTCGCGCGAGTGCGCGCCGAGTCTGTTCTGACGTTCTCTGGCGAAGTCGCCAGGGGCACTGCGAAGCCTCTGACGGGCTCTCGTGCATTGGGCGGTCTTGTGGGTGGTTTCCACTTCCGCAGAACGGGTTGGTTTCTGCGCCAGGGTAATGTCACGCGCTTCCGGGATGTTCAATATAGAATTCCTTAGGAGCCGAAGGTTTTTGAAGGACTTTGGCGTGCGCTCGCGACGGTACGCGCGCGCACTTCGCCCCGTTTGTCAATCCTGTTTGTTGCAAGGGGCGCTCGCGGTAGCCCGCGCGCAAGGGCGTTCGAATGATCTCAACATGCGCGCGCGGGAAGGCACATTTGATAGTTCTTGAGGAACGCATGGGTCACGGTTTGTATTCGATTTCAAAATTCGCACGAGGACGATCGCAGGTATGTATGCGTACACACATATTTAACGACACATACACATATGTACACATAGCCATGCGTACACATGTACATGTACAAACATAGATATACGCGTGTTGCGATTTTTTTTGTTTGAAAAAGTTTCCGGCACACTCGGTTTTGAAGCCCATGGCGAACGCCAAGGTTTTTGTTTCAAGGGTTTTGGCATGCGCTCGCGACGACGACGCGCGCGTGTGGATTTGTGAAACCTGATGATTTGTGATATACGATCGCGCGCGCATGCTGTCTTTCGTTGTGGATGATGGGGGTATCGATACGGGTCTGCCTGGGCTGGTACAAGTTTAGATTTCGGATATGCGAGTGTGCATGGTCATGTAATTCAAACAGCTTGGAGAAGAAAGGATAAGGCTGCATCCAAAATGGGGCCAAGGGGGGTTATGTCATGATGCTTCTCTGGAACGCAGAACGTACGTGGTGCAAAATATGTTGTGGAACCTTTTTCGCGGATGTGCTGTATCCGTAGTGCTGCTTATGTATTGTATTGCAACGTACGTTGTGCAATTTTTCAATTGCAGCCATGTGGTTGTGCAATCCGTGTTGAGCCATATACGTCGATCTGTCGATGTTGCGCAGTCTATGTGGCGCAGTCTATGTTGTGGACGATCTAGAAATTGTGCCGCAGGTGCGATTTTCCCTTTCGTGCAATCTACCTTGTGCAATCCAGTTGCGGCGACCGGCGGCGACGGGGCGGTGACGGGGGCCGCATTGCCGCCAGACCGAAGACACGGCCCAGACGACGAACGGCGACGATGTGGCGACGGAGCGGCGGCGGCGGCCACATAACCGCCAGACAGGAAACACAGCACATTTGTATAAAATAAACGCACGAACCCCAAAGTATAAACACTGTTTGGGGAATGGTCAACCCTGTCGAGCCCCGAAACATGTCGGCGGGGCGGCAGGTCGTTTCGCTTGCGATTTCCTCACCGCTTATGACCCTTGGACCCCAGGTTTGCAGCAGCTTCAGAGATGAAGGGCGGGTTGTTTTCAACATGTGGTTCTCGCCTTAGTACCGCGCACATTCGTTTTAACAAAATTACCACTTGTTTCAAAATGTCGTTCTGGCTTCAGCGCCGCGCGCATCCTTACAAGTTTGCAAGATTCTCAGGGGGTGGGGGTTTTCAAACTGTGGTTCTGGCTTGAGCGCCGCGCACATCTCACATTCGTCTTACAATTTTGGTAGAGTTTCGCGGGTGGAGGGCGTGTGGTTTCCAAAATGTGGTTATTGCCTCAGCGTCGCGCGCATTCGCTTTGTACTTCCACCACAAGTCCAAGGATTCTTATATATGTTCCAGAAATGATGTTTCTGCACAGTGTAGGACGTCAGGGCGCAACAGTTACGTCGATTCGCGGCGTTGAGTCCCAAGAATTGTGTTGTGGCACGGTTCAGTTTTTTCAGACGGTTGCTTTCCAACGGGGCATTTTCCTTAGTGAATCTGAAGATGTTTGTGAAGAGGCAAGTTGGACGGCTGCTCTATTGCAACATCGTTGATGAGTCATGGGTTCACTCTGGTCCCCCTCCTTGTCCTCATCCTCTTCCTCATCCTCATCCTCATCCTCACACTCATCTTCCTCCATGTACGCGCTCGCGCGCGTGCGCGTGGGAGCGCGCAGGAGGAGGGGGACCCATAGTCGAGGTTTTTGGACGTCTTGGGTCCACTTGATGCGGCTCCGGGGCCCTCAGAGGGGGTTTTGCGGAGGCCTTCTGGCAGCGCCCGTGGCCCATCCATGGCAGCAGCAAAACAGTGGCAGCAAGCGGAGGAGGAGAAGGGGGAGGAGGAGGAGCAGCAGAAGGAGGAGGAGGAGGAAAAGGAGGAGGAGGAGGAGGAAGAGGAAGAGGAGGAGGAGGCGGAAGAGGAGGAGGAGGAGGAGGAGAGCAAGAGGGGGCAGGGTAGGGGAGGAGGATGAGGAGGTGGACAACGACTAGGACCAGACAGACAGACCAAGGACAAGACAGACACACAGACACACAGACAGACTCTCGGGGTCCCACGTTGCCAGTCCGCCGACTGGCCACGCCTCACGGGCCAGTCGACGGACAGACAGACAGACAGACAGGCAGGCGGACAGACAGACAGACAGACAGAGACAGAAAGACGGACAGACACACGGACAGACGGACAGACACAAAGACGGACGGACAGACAGACAGACAGACGGACAGACGGACGGACGGACGGACGGACGGACGGACAGAGACAGACGGACAGGCAGACAGCCAGACAGCCAGACGGCGGCCTCAGGCCGCGCTTCCACCCCCGCCGCGGGAGCACCCGGCGCTCGGCCGCGGAAGGCCGCGCGCCTGGCCGCGGGCCATAGCGCCGGGGAGGCAGTGGGCCGACGAAGTGGGCCACAGCATCGGCCTGCGCAGGTGCGCGAGCGAAGAACGGCATAACATAAACCTTCCGCCGTCGGGGACACCTGCCCCTGGGCGGCTGGAAATACCCCTACGGTGCCACCGTAAGGGTCTAATTTTTTTTCCAGCCGCCCTGGGACAGGCGCCCCCGACAGCGAAAAAGTTCATTTTACACCGCTCTTCGCCCGTTAACAGGTGCTGGGAGGGCGGCGCTCCGGCGGAGCGCGGCGCCGCCGGGGCGGGACCGCCCCGCAGGAGACCGAAGCCGACGACGGACCAGGAGGAGGTGCGCGTGCGGACCTCGTCTGGCAGGCAGCTGGTCGAAGGAGCCGACACCCGGCGAGCGACCACCATGGACGTGTTCAACCGCGGTCCGGCGTCCAGCGCGGCCCTGCCCGTCAAGGGCGAGAGAGGCCCGCGGCGGGAGGACCTGCACGAAGCGATCCTGAGAGTGCCGCGGCCTCGCCCTGGCGCCCATCCGAGCAGGCCCGCGGAGCAGGCGCCCCCCAGCGCCGCAGCCCCTGCTGACAGACGGCGGCGCGCCCCCGGCGGGCTCAGGAACTCAGGAGGCAGTCTGGAGGCGGGGCTCGCCCGCTTGCGCGCCCTGAACGCCCAGTTCAAGGGCGCCTGGTCCACGTTTGTCGACGCGGAGTTCCCGGAGGCGCCCGTCCAGCTGGACGGCAAGCACACCGTCTGCTTCTGGGGGCAGACGCAGGACATATCCCGCCACGACCACAAGGCCCTGGTGGAGCCGTCGCGTGCGCGCGCTGCTGCCCTCGCAGTCCGTGATCAGCGAGGCCGGCGCCTACCTCGTGAGGCTCTGCGTCGGGGGCCGCTGGCGGAACGGCGTGGTCGACGACCGCCTCCCCCTGCATCGGCGGCGGCAGGTCCTACGTGCAGCTGGCCTGCTGCGTGGCCCACCGCCTGCAGGTCTGGGCCTCCGTCATCGAGAAGGCCTGCGCCAAGGCCTGCGGCTCCTACGAGCGGATCGTGGGCGGGGAGGCGGGCGAGGCGCTGTCCGTGCTCACGGGCTGGCCGTGCACGATGACGCGCTTCTGCAGCCCCAGCTTCGAGGCGGACGCCTTCTGGGCCACGCTCTGCTCCTCTCGCGACGCCGGCTTCCTCATGACCTGCGAGGCCAAGAACGAGGCAGCGCACCTGGAGCCGTTCCACGTCTACCTGCTCTTGAGCATCTTCGAGGTGGCCACGCGCGACGGCGGCCAGACCCGGCTTGTCAAGATCCGGAACCAGCAGGAGAAGGAGAGAACTAAGTGGACGGGCGCCTGGTCCGGCGAGTGCCCGAACTGGAACCCGTCGTTGCGAGAGCAGTTGGAGTACCCTGTCGGGAGCGAAAAGATGGTCTTCTTCATGGCACTCGGGGACTTCCTCCGGCAGTTCGCCCACTGCACGATCTGTCGGATCAGGGCCAGCGACAGCTGGCACCAGGACCGCACGGCGGTGGATTTGCCCGCGGGGCGGCCCCCGCGGCTTGGGGCGCAGCTGAGCACCCGGGCCTCCGTGGCGGAGTGCTCCCTGAGCCTGTCGCAGCCAGAGGAGCGCGCCAGGCAGGGCCCCCTCTTCCCAGGCCTGCCGAAGGAGGAGGCGTGCATCGGCGTCGTGCTGCTGAAGAACGGGCCCGAGGACTCGAAGGAGCAAAACTATGGACATAAACTTTCGGATCTCCGCGCGGATTCTCTTGGATCGGCGCTGGGCCCCCCTTGCGGCCTGGCGGCGCCTCCGGCGCCGCCCCTGGCGCGCTCCGCGCGCCAAAGAGTGGGTCCCAGCGCCGATCCCAGAAATCCGTGCGGAACTCGGAGAGTTCATGATTGTATGCCTTGCGCCGCTCATTGTTCTGCCGAGGACGGCCTCGAGTGCGGCCTCCCTGCGACGGTGGAGGCAGTGGCGTCGATGCGTAGCGTGTCCGCCGTGTCGGCGGACTGCTGGCTGGCCCTGAGCAGCATGTACACGCTGGTGCCGCTGAGCCTGCCCGGGGGTCCTGCCGTCCCCGCTGCCCTCGCCGCGTTCAGCAGCCGGCCCGCGGAGCTGCGCGAGGCCGCCGACGACGACGACGACCACCACCACCACCGCCGCCACCACCACCATAACCACCACCACGACGACGACGACGACGACGACGACGGCGCCGACGAGGCCGAGCTGAGCATCGGGCAGGTGAGGACCGCGTGGGCCGCCCACGCCCGCAGCGTCTGCGACAGGGGCGAGTCCCTCAGGGGCGCGACGCTGCACATGTCGGAGAACAAAGCATGACATGAGCATCAACTTTCGGAGGTCCGCGCGGATTTCTCGGATCGGCGCTGGAGCCCCCTCGCGCTTGAGAGGCGGTCCAGCACAGATCCGAGGAATCAGCGCGGTTTTGTTAACAGTTTATGTTTATGATATTTTGTTGTTTCTTGATGCATGGGTAAGGCCGAGGGCGGGGCGCTCGTCGCGCTGGCGGAGAACCGCGGAAGCGGCCATCTTTGCGTGGAGCTGTCGCTGTCCAGTGGCTGCCTGCTGCTCTCGCGTGGGGCCGCGCAGACGACCGACTGGCTGCCCCCGGGCTACGCGCAGGTGCTGCAGGTGGCGGTGCCAGCCGAGGGCTCCAGGGGCTCGGCGGGGTGGAGGAGCCAGCACAAGTTCCAGATGACCTCGCGGAGCCCCCACAGGGCGATGCAGACGCCGCCGCTGCTAGAGGTCGACGCGCTGCACACGCCCTTCCGCATGTCCGACGGACTGCCTCTGCTCGGCCTGTCGTCGCTGTGAGCTTGCCCAGCAGCCTCTGCAGCCTGGCCCGCCCGAAGTGGGTGCCGCGGTGCTCTGGAGGGAGCTCCAGCCTCGAACGTATCCCTATCCCTAAGATTGACACGCCAAAAGGCGATGACAATCTTAGGGATTCGCCCTCAAAAAATAAGGGAGTCCCTAAACTTGGCATCGTGATGAGGAGGTGCCCAGCATAGGGATAGGGATATGTTCCAGGCTGGTAAGGGAGGGGTCATTTGGAGCAGCCCTGGAGCAAGAAGACAAAGTCGGGGCGGGCGTGCCGGCCCTGGCATGGCCCAGGCCGCCCAGAGGAGGCGCGGGCCTGCCCCGAGATGGCAGGGCACGTGGAGTCTCTGCCCAGCTCCGCACTCCAGGCACAGTCCGCGCAGCACAGCAGGTTCCAGCCCTATGTCTCGGCATCGCTCGGACGTGTGCATTTTTTCTCGGCGGGGGCCATCGAGCACCATCCTGGACCATCGAGCAAAAAAAACACGCACGAAACCGAAACAAGCACGGGAAATGGCCGTCCGAGCGATGGCGAGAGGGCGCGTGGAGCCTCTGCCCAGCGCAGCACTCCAGGCACGATCCGCGCAGCACAGCAGGTTCCAGCCCTATGTGATTGCGCAGCCCTGCCAGTGCGGATGGTGGGTCTGGCATGCCTTGCGCGGATGCTAGATCGTACGTGTGGATGAGTCCGCCCGATCTGCCAGCAGCGCTTGTTCCCTTTTGCGATGTCCGCGAAGGCGTGCCTGACAGGCCGGCTTCGAGTGTTCTCCCATGTAATTCGGCGTCTCGTTGTGTGCTCGTCGTCGGCGGCCGCTTGAGAGACCGCGCCAGACGTGCGCAGGTTGTGCCGCATATTGAGTTTTTGTTTCGCGTTTCCTTCCTCTTTCTTCGTCCTCCTGTGAAATAACGGCCAAGACTTTCTGCATAGCGTGTCGCGCCGCCGGTTCTGGTCCACCAAGCCGCGTTGTGACACGCTACCACGTCGGGGTCCCCGAGCGCCAAGGCCCCGAACCTTTCCCAGCCTCTTGCCCAGCGGAGCGGATCGACACGCGATCCGGTTGCAGGGCATAGTTGGTCGCCAGGGCCGCCGCCGCGACACGGTAAGCAAAAGTTCCTAACCGTACAGCCATGTTGCCGCGGAGTGCAAGGCGCCGAGCTGCTAGGACGGCCTCGTTTTGAGGCTGGCCAATCTGCGCGGCGTGCTGGCAGTCACCCGAGGCAGTTCAAGTTCGTGGCTCTTCCACATTGGTGGCCTGTGCCTGTGTCGGAGGGACTGGGCACGGAAGGCCATCAACACGTGGAAAAGACATGCAGACAGACAGCCAGCCAGCCAGACAGGCGGGCATCCCTGAGATCCAGCGGCATCCATCTCGCGCCCCGCCGCGCGGCTCGTCGGCCATGACAGAAGACTGGATGTAGAGCCTTTTTTTTGGGGGGGGGAGCCGGAGTGGACTGGATTACAGCTTTTCTTTTGGGGGGGAGGAGTAGGAGGAAAGCTGAGGGGACGATACGCGACGCCGTAATCGAGTCCACTCCGGCTCCCCCCCCCCAAAAAAAACTGGATGTAGAGCCTGGTCGCCCACGGGGGCGCGAAGATGATTGAGCTCCGCGGATCGCGGACTGGGCAGGAGCGGTTGCTCTTCTCCAAGGGGGGTGGCACGAGGGCCCGAAGGGACGCGAAGAGAAAAGCCGCGCGTCGCGCACCACCACGCGGTGCGATATGCGCGCAGCTGGGCGACCTTTAGAGCCTCCTCCTTCTCCCCCTCCTCCTCCTCCTCCTCCTCCTCCTCCTCCTCCTCCTCCTCCTCCTCCTCCTCCATCTCCATCTCCTCCTCCTCCTCCTCCTCCTCCTCCTCCTCCTCCTCCTCCTCCTCCTCCTCCTCCTCCTCCTCTCGGGCCGAACGAAAGGGGGTGGGTGGGAAAGGGGGGGTTATGAAATTTGCTGCACTGGCTTGGGCTTGCCAGCGAGCCCCCAGGCTGCTCGGCCGGAGCGGGCGGGAGCAGCGGCTGCCGCCACGAGGCAGCGCGGTCCCGAGGGAAGGGGGGCCCTGGAGGTCTGCCGACGCTTCCCCGGTCACAGGGCCGCCAGGACGCCCCTCAGGATTGAAGAGCTTGCCTCAGGGTGAACCGAAGAAGCAATCACGGCATAGTCAGAAACTGTCGGAGTTCCGCGCTGATTTCTTGGATCGGCGCTGGACCCCACGAGCGGCGCCTCCTTGGCCGCCCCTGGCGCCCTCCGCGCGCCAGTGAGGAAGGTCCAGGGCCGATCCTGCGCGGAGCTCCGCAGGTTCATGTTTACGTTATGCGCATGCTTCTTTCTCTTCTGGGGGAGGCCCGAGGTCCACGACCCGCTGCTCGGAGGGGTCCTCCCTCAGACACCCGGCGACGTGAGTTTGTCAGTCCGCTGGCCCCCATGCGGTCTCGACCTCGCGCAGGGATCGTACCTCGTTTCTGGTGGCGCCGAGGCCCGAAGGCCGCCCCTGGAAGCCAGGACGGGGGCGTCAATCCGCGGGGGGTCCTGGGCGCCCCTCCATGCCAGGTGCAGCCGTGCCTCCTCCTCCTCCTCCTCCTCCTCCTCCTCCTCCTCCTCCTCCTCCTCCTCTCCTCCTCCTCCTCCTTCCCCTTCTCCTCCTCCTCCTCCTCCTCCTCCTTCTCCTCCTCCTCCTCCTCCTCCTCCTCCTCCGCCCAGGATCACCTGTGCTCCTGCCCAGAGAGGGGGAGCGCCCTCGCCCCCCCCCCCTCGGGGGCGGCAACGAGGGGGGGGGGATGACCAAGGGGGGGGGATACCATGGCGTGGGCCACGAGATTTCCCCAGATTTCATGGCGCCTCTTCTTATCTCATTACGTCCCTGGCCCCCCCCCCCTTGGGTCGCGCACATTTTTTTGGTCTGCGGGTCGGGAGCGGGCCCCTTCCAGTTAAGAGCTAGGCAGGGCGCGCGAAGCCCTAATTGGGGAGACAGGGCGCGTTGGGTCGCGCACGTGCCGCCAGCCACAATTTGCCCCCGCCACCCCCCCCCTCTCGGACGCCCCCCTCGTGGCCGCCACCGGATCCCACAGGGGTCCATTTCGATCCGATGGATCTGGGCCGGAACCGACTCTGGCCGGCCCGATCCGAGTCGACTCCGAGATCCGCCAGCAAGCAAGGGGTTCTGGAGGCCAGCCGGCCGGCAGGCTTTCCGCAGTTTGTTCTGGCTGCTGGGCCCTCCCCTGGCCCCCAGGAGCGGCAGGAGAAGCCTCTCCATGAACAGCATCCTGTCCCAGAGAGCAGCCCCCAGGATCCCGGGCCCGCCTCCCTCGGGCGCCTCTTCCTGCATGCCGACTTGTGTGCGGGCCCATGCCATGATGGCGTTGGTGTGCATCTTGGCGAGGCCGATCCGATCCGACTCCGACTCCGTAGCGATGTGGCCCGCTTCCGGCGCGCGTTCCGAGTCGGTCCGGTCTTCCGATGTGGGGCTGATTGATCCCGCCCCAGGTTGACCTGTTGCCCACCGCCCCGTCGTCGCCTCACGACGGGCCGCCAGCCCTGGAGGAGCTCCTGCGCCCGTCGCGGAGAGTGTCGTGCCGCTCGTCGTCCATCGTCGACTCGTTGCCGTCGGCGGCGGCGTCGTCGTCCCTCCTCGTCGCCGCCCTCCTTCTCCTATATACCCCCTCTCTGGCCCTCCCCCCGCTTTCCTCGCCGTCGCCGTCGTCGTCCTCGTTCTTCTCCTCCCTCCCCCCACCCGCGCTCCTCGTCGCTCTCCCTCCTTCTTGCCGTCCTCGAGGTCCTGGTCGGCCTGCTCCTTCCTGAGTCCCCCCTTGTCCTCGTCGTCTTCGTCGTCTTCGTCGTCATCATCGTCCTCTCCTTCACCGTTCTGTCTCATCCTCGTCCCCCTCTTCATCCTCCTTGCTCTCCCACTGGTCCTCCGCGTTCTTCTCCTCGTCTACCTCCTTATTGCCCTCTTCCTCATCATCCCACTCCGCGGCATCCTCATCCTCCCTCCCTGTTCATCTTCTTAGTCGTCATCCTGCTCTTTGTAATTATCACTCCTCGCGCTCCTCCCTTATTTCCAGCCTCCTGCACGCGTAACCGGAATAAGTGTAAACTCAGTGCGCTGATCTCGGTCCCTCGTGAAGGTAGGTGGGGCGCACCCACTGTCCTAACCCTAAGCCAATCGCGGGGAAGACGATTGCGGTTGCGAGTGGGTGAGAAGAGGGAGGGAGGGAAAGGGAAAGGGTTATAGTCGAAATGAGCAGCAGTGGCGAACGGTGGAGTTTCAACACCTTCGGACGTCCATGATGAAACGATCGCAGCATCATCTGCCTTGCAACATGTTGCGGAGGACGAGCCTAGAGGCGATGATGTAAGGGTAGGCCCTGATGGTGCTGTGCAACACATCCTTGCTGTCGATCTTGGCTGCGGGTGCCTAGGTGCCAAGCCCCGCCTCCCCCCAGGCCAACGCGAAGGGCCCCTCGGCCTCCGCTTCCCACCCGTGCTGCCACTGGCCGGGGGCAGGGTGGGGGACCGGAGGGTGTCTTGCAGCATCGTTGATGCATGTTTGGTTTGCTCTGGTCCTCCTCTTCCCCCCTTCGCCCTCCGCCCTCCGCTTCCCCATGCTCCTCCTGATCCCCTCTTCCTCCTCACCTACCCTTCACCTCTTTTCTGCACTCCTTCACTTCTTCTCCTCCTCCTCCTCCTCCTCACCCTCCCTCCTCGCTTGCCGAGTTGTCTGTGGGAGCCAGCGCCGCCTCACCGAGAGAGAGAGGAGGCTTGCCCAAGGCAGTGTTTGCACCACTCGAATTTAGTTTTGCAGCCCACAGGAGAGTTCTTGGAGTTCCCCTTTGTGTGTACGTTTTCGGTTATTGAAGCTTCTGAAGACCTCAGACGACCCAAGATGCCCCTCCGAGAACTCCAACACGCTCTCAATAAGTTCGCTGGACCCTCTTTCGCCAACAATCGTCCAAGTGCATCCTCTGCTCTCCTCTACGAGCCTCCTCTTGAACCCTCCTGGACCCTCCTCTTCCTTTCTCAGCTCTCCTTTCCAACTATCCTCGCCCTCCTCTGATCTCTCGTCATCCGGCAGATTCGGCGGTACCCACCTCGGCCTCCTCCTTTTGCGGCGTCTCCTCAGCTGCTTATGGTTGTGATTTCTGCGCTCCTGAGGCCTCATGATTGTATGCAGGCCTATGTTGGCCACAGCCGTTTCGACTCGCATTGGCGTTTCGTTCCGTAGCTGGCTTGGGCCAGATTGTTGCGCAGCGGAAAAGAGTCCGCGATTCTATTTCCGATCCAGATTTCTCAGTTGGCAGCGGAGCCGTGGTTCTCCCCACGGTAGCTGCGCACCCGCTATAGTTACGGCTTAGCACAGCCACGGATTCAGATTTGAGATTGCTGCCGCCATGCTTTCCGGGGCTCAAGGAGAACCCGGGGATGAAGAAAATGGAGAGCCGACGAGAGTTTCAACACGAGTGCATCGGGACCCACCGCCACTATTCACGGAGCCGGCGGACGAATATTTGTATCGACGCTACAGACGAGACCTGTTGATCTGGCAGGCCAACACCACATTAGAGGTGAAGAAAATTGGCGGCGTGGTTCTCAGGAATCTGCGAGGTCATGCCCGAGTTGCGTGTGAGGAGATCGTTGGCGAATCTTCGACGGTTGAGAGCGCAATCGAGCTGATCCTGCAGGCCCTGGACAATGCATTCCAGTATCTGAAGGAAGAAGAGATTCCCGAGGCACTCGGGAAAACTCTGTACACGCGTGTTCGCGACCCTAAGAGGGAAAGGCTGATGACGTTTGTGAATTGGCGCAGGCTCGAGTTCATCGCGCTCGAGAGGTTGAAGGTTATGCTGCCGGACACGCTCAAAGGATACAGTGCATTACGGTTCGCGTGGCTTGATGAGAGGTCCTATGATACAGTAGTTGGCTGGCCTGATGGTGGCTACAATGTCGAGCAGATCGCGAAGACGCTTATCAGGCTGGACCGCCCTGACAGACGAGCTGGACTACCGAGGCCAACGACAGGATTGACTTCGCTTTCGTTCTTTGGGGATCTCGACGAGAAGAACACAACACCTCCGCCGCCGCCGATCGACCTGGCCACGACGGATTAGTCCGACGAGCTAGGCGCGTTCGCCATATAGGTGATCGGATACGAGGATGACGGCTATGACGACGGCGAGGGCACGCTACAGATCCCAGGGTCGGAGGCGATCGAAGGAGTATACTACATTGATGCTGAGTGGCTCGATGGCACGATTGTATAGGAGGACCTGCCATTAGTGTTATTGCACGCGGCCGGCGATGAGTTCCCCGGTCGAGTGCAAGCAGGTCCGGAACCAGTTGAATGAGGCGCGCAAGGCCGGAAGTTTCTTCAAGCCAAAAGGGCAAAGACAAAGGCAAGCATGGTCATGGACAAGACAAACGCAAGGGCAAGGGCAAGCAGAAGCAGCGCAGGCGCATCTCGATCGACCAGCTCAAGCTGAGAACGAAGTGCGCCGAGCGCGAGCAGGTTGGCCATTGGTCGCGTGAGCGCCCGCAGAACCGACATCAACAGCGCCCCGCCCGTGGAGCTTTCACTATGCATGCGGCGAGCGGTAGCAACCGGACGTTCGATATCAATATGCCGAGACCAGCTGCATCTGCGACCAGAGGTGCCGCGAAGTTCTTCGTCGGAGTGATCGCCGTGTTCGTCGGGCTCGCCATCAATGCGCGGGAGGTTCTCGTGGGCACGGGCGCTCAGGGGGGCATCATCGGCGCTGAGCAGCTGAAGGGTTTCGTTGACAAGCTGAAGGAGTTCAACTTACAGCCGCGGTGGGCGCCGGACGACGGACCCCCTCCTCGCGTCATCGGAGGCGGCGCGATTGTCATTGGCCGCGCGGAGGGTCCCGTGGGCATCGCAGGCGTGAACGGGGTAGTATCTTTCCGTGTTCTTGATGAGGAGGTGCTTGCGCTGCTGCCAGTCGGTCTCGCCGGAGCGCTGGAGATGGCTCTCAAGATGCGCGGGTCTCCTGACCGGGCTTTTTCTTCGGATTGGGCGCTGACGCACAGCTGCGGACCATCGGGCAGAATGGCCGCGCGGCCACCAGCATCGTCAAGCTTGCGCCTGGTGAATGGCGTGGAATAGAGACTGGAAAAGAGGAAAGGACGTCATTTGCTGTCGTTGACACGTCGCCATCACACTCGCCACCGCCGGCATTGTTGCCATCGCCGGCTTCGGCAACATCAGCGCCACCAGCTACCGCATCGCAGACAGCATCTAATGCATCGCAGGGCGAGACTACGGCACCCCCAATCACATCAGCAGCGTGCAAGACAGCATCTACAAAATCACAGAGCACAACATTGGCATCCGAGGAGCAGGCGACTGCAGCTATACCAAGCAGGGGTTAGGGAAGCCACAACAAGCACACAGAGAACAAGCTCACAAGCATCCCAGAAGAAGGTACCCAAGATGACTCCAAAGCAGGCCCCCCGGAGCCCAAGGTCGAACTCTCAGAGCCATTCGTGTTCAACTCCGAGTTTCTCGGCAGAGGCCGACAGCGATTTCATACATGCGCAGCCCAGTCCTCCGATTTGGGCGGAAGCATCCATATGCGCTACAGCGCTGGATGACGAGCCTCGTGGACCAGACTCTCGGTCAGCGCGAGGATCCAGTGTTGGATCGCGGGGCGAGTCGAGGCCGAAAGAAGCGGGCTATGGCAGCGTGGTGTCGGATCCTGCGAAGATTCATTGTGGTCATCGAAGTTGCTCTCTCCCAGTCCTTGTGCTCGGCTCTGTCGTGCGTCTCTGGTATCCAAGAGCAGGCAAAACCTTTCGCTGCGCATCGGAAGAGAGCTGGGTCATCCACCGACCAGGGATTCCCCGCGTCTTTTACGATGGGCAAGCGTCGCCCCGACACCAGGCGCAAGGGTATCAAACTGAGCTGCGCGCCGGAGGAGTGCGACCACCCGGAGGAGTTCTCGCTCCCGGAGGGCAGCCACAAGGGCTACTACGAGGTCAGCATGAAGAGCGGGGCCCGATGGGGGCGAGTCCTTCACTGCGGCAAGACGGTCAAGGTCGAGCCCGGTTTGACAGCGGGCAGATGGTGTTTCCAGTGAAGATGGAGGTTCCAGCATGCCCAGTCCATGGGGCGCCCGTGGAGAGGGTGCACGACCGCTGCGAGAAGAAGTGCGCGCACCTGTGCGAGGCACGGTCTTGCAAGGAGACAAAGGGGATCACGCCGGAGGGATTCGACGAAATGGTGAAAGCGTTTGCCATTTCGTCGAGCGGCGAGGACATGCGGTTGGAGGGTCGCTCTATTTCGGACGCTTAGACGGCGACAAGGAGATGGATGTCGCGGTCATCGTGACGCCAGTCAATGTGAACAGATTCGCGAATGGCGACTTCTTTGGCGACCAGATCGGCAGTGGGTCGGCTACGTCACAGAGGATGGGTCGACTACATCAGAGGACCTCCAGGGCGACGCGACTGATTGCGTCGATATCTTCAGGGTGCGGAGTAGGGTTATCACGAGTGTCTTGTTCGACGACGAGCAGGCAGTCATGTCCGGGGGGCTTCGGCGAGAATTGCGACGGAGCCTGGGGAAACTATCCAGGAAGGGCGCTGACGCCGCTGAGATCTACAGCCAGCCTCGTGTCGCGCAACATTGCATCCGACATGGGCTCCAACCCGACTACCGGATTCGACTTCGCGCTGGGCGCAGATCGCAGGGGGGGCGAGAGATCGTCGAGAAGGAGCAGCCGCTGCTCATTCCCCTCAGCCCGCCGCGCAAGGTGCGGAGCTGCATCGGGGGCCAGTCAAACTACAAGCGCGACCAGGACATCGTTAGCAGTGAAGAACATGAAGGTCTTCAACGCGTAGACTTCGGCGCGGCGCTCACTCGAACCACGCGAACGAGGAGGGCTAATTCTATTCGAACAACCAGCCCACGCACGAACGCGGGGCGCGCCGTGCATTCAGCGCCGACGGGGCCGGCTGGATAAAGGAAAACGTGCTTTTCAGCATTTCAAGTTTTTCGGCCTTCAAGACGGTCCAAGAGGCCCCCAAGACCGCCCCAAGACGGCCCAAGATGCTCCCAAGAGGCCCCCAAGATGGCGCCAAGATGGCCCAAGGGGCGCCCAAGACGGCCCAAGAAGGCCCCAAGACGGCCCCAAGAGGGGGACCACGAGCTAGAAATTCTAGCCTTCCGCCGCAGGACGCCCCCAAGAGGCCCCAACAGGCCCCCAAGAGGCCCCAGGAGGCCCTCAAGAGGCCTCAAAAGGCCCCAAGAAGCCCCAAACCCGCCCCCAAGAGGCATCGAAACTACCTCCAAGAGGCCCGCGAAAAGCCTCCTAAGAGATCCCAGCGAACATCCACTAAGCCTCACGCACACAACCCAGGCACGGTGACAGGATGTGCCGAAGGCAACTAGACATTGCGGATGTTGATATTAATGCACGTCCTGGAGCTGATGTTGATGATGTGGGCGGTGATCGTGCCAAAGTTTATTTATTATTTTCTTGACGTTGCTGGTTCCCTACCTAGGCTCTGCCTAGAAGGGTTCTTACTCTCTGGGCTTAACGGGGCCGGGCAGTGGAAAGCGCCCCGGGCGGTTCCCCCGGTATCCGCCCCGCGGTTCCCCCAGTCACGTCCCTTTAGCTTAGCCTTGCTTATCTCATCTTATCTTAGCGTATTTCATCTTATCATCTTAGCTCAGGTGTATCTTAGCTTAGCGCATCTTCAGATTAGCTTTGCTGAGCTCTAGCAGAGCACATCATAGCATAGCATAGCGTAGCAAAGCATAGCGCAGCATAGCATATCATAGCATAGCCCCGCATACTGTAGCATAGCACAGCATAGCATAGCATATCATAGCATAGCATAGCGCAGCACAACACAGCACAGCATAGCATATCATAGCGCAGCATATCATAGCATATCATAGCATAGCATAGCAACTGATGCTGCTTGCCTAGGGGCTCCAACTTCTAGGTCGGGTCGCACTGGGGTAATGTGATACTCGTGATGCTGATGATGTCGACGCTCATGCCGTTGGTGATGATGTTGTGACGAGGTTCGAATATATGATGAGCTCAGGGTCAGGACGACGTCAGTTCACAAAACAATTCCCCTACACCGACAACGGTGGTGGCTATGGTGTCGTTGGTGATGATACTGATGATGAAAGTGTTGGCGATGATGTTGGTGTTCGGAAACCGTTGCTGTTGATGAGGATGATGATAATGATGATGATGCTGATGGTGATGGTGGGTGTGCAGGTAACAGGGTGCTACCCCCCCGCCGTAGGCCTCTGCTTGCGCGGAACTGGTACAACTGGATAGAATTGGTCATCGAACTGGTCCATGAAAATGGTCCATTAGAAATAAAGTCCAGCGTCGAACAGGTCGAAATTCTAAAGAGAAATACGTTGGATGTCTGATTTTTTTTGGAAGCGACCAGTTCTATGCCAGATCTTATTTCTAATGGACCAGTTCTATGACCAGTTATATGACCAGTTCTACCCAATTGTACCAGCTCCGCGCAAGCAGAGGCCTGCGGCGGGGGGGGGGGCAGCGCCCTGCTACCTGCACGCCCATGTTACTTGCACACCCACATGTACATCCACATCAACGAAACAACGAAACTCTTCTTACCCAAACGGTGCCCGGACAACAAATGTCCACGCCGACGGCGCCAAGATAACCAGGCATGATGGCAACGACAATTGCAATGCACATGTGGCTCGCCCCCCCCACCCTCAAGCCCAAAGTTGAAGTGTCCACATTTTGTCCCCCGCGCGTTGCCTCGCACCCAACCCCGTCAACTTTGGGTTCGGGGGGGCGGGGGCTATGCACATTTGTTCGACGCGATTCGATGTCTTATCATATTGGCGCGATGGGTGTGGTCACTTTGTGTCCAACCACCGAAGGACTGCCTGGGAGCGTGCCCGAACAATGGTCAGGCCCTGCAGTTACAGGGCGCCCTCGCAGGTCAGCACCCCAAGGGACGAGCGGATCCAGCTGTGGTTTTGCAGCGCCCCCTGCCCGTCGCCCGAGTCGTGAGGGCCAGCCAGCACAGTGCTGCTGGCTCCAGAGACAGACGAACGCATCATCAATCTGAGCGCTGGTCACCCTCCCTCCTCCCCACCAGCACCTGTCCATAGTGCCTTTTCCTTCTCCCCTCCGCCGATGTTGCTTTTCTCCCGCCCCCTCTGCCCCCCCTCGCTGCCTCCACAGCCCACGCCCACGCCCCCGAAGGAGATGCCGGCGATGAGGGGCCTCGGAGAGCCCAGCGGCCCCACGGCCGCGGACGCGGCCGCTGCGGCACAGGCGTTGGTCGTCGTCGTTGTTGCCGTCTCCGCTGTAGCCATCGTCGTCGTTGCCATCGTCGTCGTCGTCGTCGTCGCCGTTGCCGTTGCTGTCGCCGTCGCCGTTGCCGTGGTCGTCATCGTCGTCGCCGCCGTCGCCGCCTCCGACGTCCATCGCCCGTCGTCCGCCGCCGACACCGGCGTCGTTGTTCGTTGTGCGGTGTCCGTCGCAGCCGTCGTCGCGCGCGGGAGGGAGGAGAAGGAAAAGCAGGAGTTTTCCGGAGGAGGTTTCGTTTGCGCTCGAGGACGAGGCCCCCCCAAGAACAAGCGACGAATCTCTGAGGGCGCGCCGGACAGCAGGCGCGCCCGGGCGCGGCGCGTGACTGCGGCAGGCGGGCTCGCGCAGAGGAGCGCGCGGCCGCTTTGACATGGTCGTTCTTCTTCTCTCTCCTCCCCTCTCCTCCTCCTGCTCCTCCTCCTCCTCCTCCTCCTCCTAGCCCCGTCTGCCCGAGGTCGGTGTTTCAGGGGCGGCCGCGCCGAGGATGCGCATTCATACCCCGCGTCAGCAATGGCGCGCCCTCCTCTTGCGATGTTGCGGCGGCGGCTGTCGAGCTTGGCGCTGTCGCTGCTACTGATTCTCTGGAGTTTCTGGCCATGGTTTGTTGCTCTCCCAGAGATGAAGTTCATTCATTGGAACGCTCAGAACGCCACTTTGGAGGAGAGGCTGTGTGATATCTCTGCTGAATTTCGCTACGTTGATGTGATTTGTCTGAGCGGTACGGGCGAGCGGAGAGGAGATGTCGATACCATTCGTACGACGCTGCCCTACCACACTGCTCTTCGGTCAGGCTGGAGTCCCAGCCCCCACGCGAACAAGAGTTGCGGCTGTACTACTGTTCTTCTTCGCAGACGTGTGTTTCGATCTCCGCATCTAGTGGACACCCCTCCTGTGCCAGAGTTGCTGAAAGGTCGGGTCGCCCTCACACGCCTGAGGAGCGGACGGTTCGACATCCTTGTGCCGACGGCATATTTCCCGCCGAGACCGTCGGCCCGACGCTCAGCCCGAGAGTCCGCGCCCACTGGCACCCAGCACCTGGCATACAGGCGCACCGTCGACGCGCTCTGCGACTGGATCGAGAAGACGCTGACGTGGGCGCGAGGGCGGTCGGCTCTGTTTTTCGGGTTCGATCTCAACGACGGGCTCGGCATACGCCAGTGCGGGCAGCAGATCTACGAGCAGGTGGCCTAGTCGGCGCTGGGCCCGCACGGCCGCCAACTACAGCGCTACGCTGGTGACAAGATGCTGGAACTGATGGAGAGGTTCGCCCTGCGGGGTGTGACCAGCGACTTCGACGTGGGGCCCACCTACCACGGCGCGCGGAGTGCCTCGTTCATCGACCACTTCGCGGTTTTCGCTTGGCAGACGCCGTCCGTCGAGAATGTGATTCCGCTCAAGAGCGCCAACTTGAGATTGAAGCTCATCCCTCGTCCTGGTCTGCAGGATCATGTCCCGATTATTATGAAGGTCATCTACACGCTGCAGGCGCCACCACCGCGCAAGCGGACGATCTGGGACTTCCATCGGCTGGGGCAGGCGCTGCAGTACGGCACGGGCGTCGCGGCGTTTGTTCGCGAGCTGGATGACGAGTTCTCGCGACATCCCGACTACTTCCACGCGCTCTACGACGCGAAGGCTCCCGACGAGGCTTGGGATCGCTGGATCGGTCAGGTCTCAGAAGTCGCTCCAAAGCACTTCTCAGGCCGCGCTCCTGTGGCCCCTCGGGTGCAGCGACTGCGTGAAGAGCGACTCCAACTGCTTGCAGACCGTCGGGCCGTTCGTGAAGTTGGTGGCGATCCCGAGGCGCTGGCATTCAGTCTCGCACGGGCGTCCCGTCGTCTGCGGGCGCATCGTCGCGAGCGCCTTGACAGCGAGGTGCAGCTACTAGTCGACGACATGCACGAGGCCTGGCAGAAGGGGCAGTTCGCTGAGGTGTGGCGCCTCAGTCACCAGCTTGCTGCTCAGTGCCGTGGCCCCCGCAGGCGGCGCCACAACGTCGGGGGCAGTTTCCTGCCGCGGCGCGCCGAGATCGTGAACTACTTCGCCCAGGCTGGCACAGCTGGAGGCTTGGAGGCGGTCCCGATCGACTTCGAGACGTATCGCCAGCAGTACTTGGAGAAGCTTCCAATGCCTCCGGTGTTTGCGCACGACCACCTGGAGTTGGCGCGCGAGGACTTCGAGAAGCTGCTGGACGTGATCTCCAAGTCGTCGCGTCGCAGGGCTGCCCCTCCTCATAGTGCGCCGACGGAAGTTCTACGGATTGCCCTAGAACCCTGGAGACGATATGATGGTAAGTCTCGACGCAAACGACCACGACGGCCTGAGGACGCCGACGAGGAGGGTGATGAACCTCCTCGCAGGCCGCGCTCAGAGCTTCTAGCCCGACAGCGGCTTGCAGGTGATCGCCGCGGCCTCGGCACGGACGGCGAGGAAATCGACGCGCCCATCGCAGAGCGGGCTCTGAAGACCATCCCCGCGCATGTGAGACGGGTCAAGCGCGCGCCGCTGATCTGGCACCACTCGGTCACCACCGGTTTAGACAAGCACAACGGGAAGACCGAGTTCAGCTCCAAGCGCTTCATCCACGGCCTCTGCAGGGTTGGCACGGCCTGGTACAAGGCTCAGCAACGGCGGGCCCCACCTGACGAGCCTCCGCCGCGAGGGCATGGCTACCAGCGTGGTCGCAATCGGGAAGGTGCGCTCCTTTGCCAGGAGGGGCTCCTCGGTCGCCTGCGCTGACTCGGGATGTCGACGCTCACGACGAAGGAGGACATGAGCAACGCCTTCGGCTCTTCCAGCCGCGCGGCGCTCCGTCAGACGGTCGAGGCGGCGGTTCGCCCAGACGAGCAGGTCTACTTCCACCAGCGGCGCGAGCTCAGCACTTTCCGCGTCCTCGGGGCTGACGGCGATCAGGATCTCCACAATCGCTGCGGCGCCTTCATGGGCGACGCGCCCGCAGCGCTCTTCTTCGCCGGGGCTTTTCGCGAGCCTATTGCTGAATGGTTGCGACGCCTGCGAGCTGCCGGCAGGGCCGCCTACGAGATGCCCGCCCACCCGACCACGTACGAGGAGTGGAAGCGGTATCCTCTCCTTCCTCCTGCTCCTCGCGCTGACATCGACGCGGCGATCTGACCTAGTGAGGCCCTTTGCACTGCGTGGTGCCCGCTGCTCGAGGCCGCGCCTGCTTGGCACGAGGATCTACGCCGACGACACGAACCGCGCGAGCGCCGTCGTCTCCGCGAGGAACGCGGGCTTCGTTTCACGGCGCTCCCACTTCGAGCTGCGCCGCTCGCTGGGGCCCTACGGCTACACGCGCAACCCGACCAAGAGCTCCGTCTCGCCCTGTTGCGTGGGCCCCGGCGCCCAGCAGGAGGCGCGGCAGCTCTTCGGCGGCTCGGAGGCTATCGCGGGTGCTGTGCAGTACGACAACGTGGCCCTCGGCATCCAGACTTCCATCGCGGGCAGCGCGCAGGCGGAGCTTCGGCGACGGCTGCAAGCTGCCCGTAGGGGATACTACAGCATGGGGCGCTTCTGTGGTCGAGGAACCGCGTCTGGCGCCTGGCGCGGATTGCGTTCGGCTCAGTCGTGCAGGAGGGGGCGCTCAGCGGGATGAACGTCCTCATTCTCAGCGCGGCGCAGCACCAGCAGCTCGACAGGGTCCTTTCCGGCTTGGGTCGACGCTTGCTGTCGGGCGCTGCGTGTCAGACGCCCCCCATCGTCGGCAGCGACGGCAATCCGCAGTTCGACGCAGCTGGGAAGCCCGTGCTGAAGTACAAGGCCATGACGGACGAGGCCGTGCTGAGGAGGCTCCGCATTGCCCCGGCTGCCACTGAGCTCCGCGTTCGGCGACTTCGCCAATGCCAGCGTTAGCTACGACGACCCGAGCGGCACCCGCAGGAGCTCGCGGTCGTCTTCGGGGAGTTGCCGCCGCTCGAACGGACACCTACGCTCGGTGCGGGCAGCTCCGTCTCGGGCGGGGCCAACCCGCGCGCGCCGCGGTTCGTCGCGGACGTGGGGGCGCTGCTGGAGGCCGCCGAGGCGGCGGAGCTTCGCGAGGATCTGCGGACGCCTGGCGGCTCGCTGAACGTGATCGCGTTGTTCTCCTGCGAGGACCTGCGCGACGGCTACCTGGCGCTGGGCCCTGGTCTGCTGTGCGCTCAAGCGCGCACTGTGGCGATCCCACCGCCTGGCTGGCGTCCGCCCGCTGACGGTGCGGGGGTGCCCCCGCCGCCGACGGCGGCCTGGGGCTGCGAGCTGCTGGGTGCCGAGGGCGTCGTGCGCGGGCGCGAGTTCGCCACTCGGCGCGCGCTGATCGCTCACCAGAAGTTCCTGAAAAATGCAGGCCATGGTTGTCGGTCCGTTCTTCACTCCATCGTCGTCACCAACCAATGTCTGTTCTGCTCCAGTGCATTCAGGATTCGTCGGATTGCTCAGGAGCATGCGGTCACAGCCTGTGTGAATCGCAGATGTCGGTTGAGGAGCCCCAGTCTCTGATGTGCCCCATGGCTTCCATCGCGGTCTCAGCCCTCATGCCAGGCCCCAGGTCCCTCGAGTTCGCATGTTCCATGAGGGGGCCCTTCGAGGACCTCGCGGCCCTGCAGGTGCACTTGCTCGAGCGGCGCGCGCCTCAGCCCTTGCCGCGACGCGCCCCAGCGGGCGCGGGCAGTGCGCGCGGCCTCCCGCCTGAGCCAGCAGGCGCTGCAGGGCGCCGCCAAGGGGCGCTCACGCTCCCACTGTCGCCGAGTCGCTGCTGGGCGAGGTGGCCGCGGTGGCTCCGAGAGTGTCAGCCGTGGGGCGCAGCGCCGCCGCGCGCGCGGAGGAGGCCGCAGCGCCGACAGCCGCGCCGCAGCCCCCGCCCAGCAGCAGCCGCCGTCGGCGGCCAGAGGGGCCGAAGTCGCTGCGCCAGGGCCTCGGGGCCGAGGCGGTCGACGCGAGATGCAGTCCGAGCCCGCTCAGAACTGTGGCCTCCCGCAGGACGAACTGGCCGCCTGCCGCCGATGGAGATGCAGATGGCGCGGAAGCTCATCCCAGTGCTCGCGAAGGCCGCGCTCGGCAACTCGTTCAACATCAGGCAGCTGATGGCCACCACCTACCACGCAATGGTGGTGAATGAGGACAACGCGCCGGCGGTGGCGGGCTTCGCCGCGGGCAAGGCGCGCGCGCTGGAGGCGCAGAAGCAGCGGGCTCTCTACCTCTCGGACCCGACGAAGAACAAGCCGCCCGAGTTCATCATGGGGCCCGCGTGCGTCCAGGTTTTGCTGCAGATCGCGCCGGCAGTGAAGGGGGCGGGCGATCGCGCGGGCGGCCGCAACAAGGACGAGCGGGCCACGCACTATGCCGCGCTCGAGCCGATGCCGATCGACACGCTGACGATGGTGGTGAGAGGCTGCCGCGTGTCCCAGTGCTGGAAGGAGAGCCAGGCGAAGCTCGTGTTCAGCCTCAGCGATACCGCCATGGAGCAGAGCTTTCTGAAGTGCGCCGAGCAGCTCGGGGCGGAGCTCTAGGTCGGGCCTGCGCCCAGAGGATATCCGGAGCGGCTCCTACATATGGCGATGAACCAGATGATGTGACGGCCTCAGCGAGTGCGACGAGACCAGTGGGTGCGACGGCCTCCGCGTCAGGGCGCTCGAGGGGCGCGGTGACGGTCGCAGTGCCAGACAGTGTGGCGCACGTCACTGCCGAGCGTGGTCGGTCGACAGTCAGAGATGGTCGGGGCGAGGAGCGCTCAGTGAATGATCCTTTCCTGCCATTGCTCCCCCCTCCTCCCCCTGAAGTGACCTCGTCCATCCCCCCCCTTCGCAGGGCAGATGTACAGCGCACGATTTGCACGCGCGCGCAACGCAGCAAGCGTACAGCAGCAGTAGATATCGTATCGCTATCGAAATTGAGCCTCACCGAGAGATTTAAACTCCTGGAGTCTCACCGCAAATGGTAGAGCGAAGACAATTCGGGGCCCCCAGGGGAGGGCGCACCCTTCTCCGATCTGTTTGGCGCGCACTGCAGGTCGTACATATCGATTTTTCCTCCCGGGATGTGTTGCAGTTGGTCCTTCGACTCCGGGCCCGATGCAGCGACCGACCGACCTCCTCCTCCTCCTCCTCCTCCTCCCCCTCCCCCTCCTCCTCCTCCTCCTCCTCCTCCTCCTCCTCCTCCTCCTCCTCCTCCTCCTCCTCCTCCCCTCCTCCTCCTCCTCCTCCTCCTCCCCCTCCCCCTCCTCCTCCTCCTCCTCCTCCTCCTCCTCCTCCTCCTCCTCCTCCTCCTCCTCCTCCGCTCTCCTTTCTCCTTCCTCCTCCTCCTCCTCCTCCTCCTCCTTTTCCTTCCACCCTCCGATTCCCTGTCTGGCGCACGCGCAGTAGCACTCAACCCCTCCCTCCCGCCCTCCTCTGCCTCCAGTCGCTCGGCCATACACCAGGTCTATGGATGGCCCCAGGTGTGCGTGGGCACCCGAGCATGTCTGAGAGACCACTCTTTCATGTATGTGTGCACCAGAAGCATGCGTACAAGGATCTCACTCCTCTTCTCCCCCTCCTCCATCTTCTCCCTCCGTCTCTCCATTCAAAAATGAGCAGTTGTTGCTGAGAGAAGCCTGGACCATGGCAATGACGGCTACGAGATGGGCAGTAGGGTGGGCCGCCTAGCCAGGCTCAGGCTGCACCGCCTGGCGGGCATCTTGACGAGGAGGCAGATGTTCAAGACCTGGTCTGATTGAGTTCGGGCCCGTGCCATGGCAAGGCGAGGCTCCCTAATTCGCCTTTTGTCCCCTGTCGCAGGAGAGCCTCTCCTCGCGTCCCTAGTAGTGGCATGCTTCCACCGTCGGTAGCTCAGCATCTGCATTCCGAATTCCCTCCCCCCCTCCCTCCCCACGAGGCCAGACTGGATCTCGTCCTGGAAGAAGTCAAGGCGGCCCTCGGCCATGCCTCGCTGCTCTTCCGTCGCCACCCTCCAGGAGGAGGACGAGGAGGAGGAGGAGGAGGAGGAGGAGGAGGAGGAGGAGGAGGAGGGGGAGGAGGAGGAGGAGGAGGAGGCGGAGGAGGAGGAGAGGAGGAGGGGGAGGGGGAGGGGGAGGGGGAGGGGGAGGGAGGTAGGGAGGGAGGCAGGCAGGCAGGCAGGGAGGGAGGGAGGGGGGAGACTACGGCCCAGACATGGTGTTTGCGCGTGCACAGTGGCCCACGCAGGCCCAACAGGGTAAGCCTGCGCCTCGGCCCCCGCATCGGGGGTTAGATAGAGGAGGCGAGCACAAGGGTACAATCTTTATTCGCCTTATCGTCCTGGTGAGTGAGGCTTGAACTGGCCATGACTTGGTACCTCACCGATACCATCGAACTTTCCTCCGTGCGGGAGTTGGGCCTTGGAGGCTATCAGAAGGGGTGCTGCTGAAAACACCAAGGCGAAATATAGAACTATTTCTCATCAGCGAAGATCATGGTGATGCAGAAGGGGGGATGAGCAGGATGAAACTTGACGAGGAGTAGGAGGAGGAGGACGAGGAGGAAAGAGAAGGGTCTAGTGAATTTCAAGGGGGTCTAGAGGGTTCCAGGGGGTCCAGGGAGTCGGGAGGAGGGAGCAAGCAGCAGGGAGCAGGCAGGAGGGAGAACGGAGGAAGGATAACGGAGGAGGGAGGATGGAGTAGGAGGGAGGAGGGAGGAGGGAGGATGAGGATGGAGATTAGGAAGGGGAGAAGGAGGAGGAGGGAAAGGTGTATGAGAGAGAGGGAGGAAGAGGAGGGCGGGGGAGGAGGGAGGGTAGATGATCAGGGAGGAGGATCAGGAAGAGGAGGAGGAGGAGAAGGAGGAGGAGGAGGAGGTGGAGGGAGGTGATGGTGGTGGCGATGATGTTGCTATTGTTGTTGTTGTTGATGATGATGCTGATGCTGATGCTGATGATGATGATGTTGATGATGATGATGATGCTGATGCTCATGCTGATGCTGATGTTGATGATGCTGATGATGATGATGATGATGGTGATGATGATGATGATGATGATGATGATGCTGATGATGATGATGATGATGATGATGATGATGGTGATGATGATGGTCATGATGATGCTGATGCTGCTGAGGATGATGCTGCTGCTGCTGCTGCTGATGATGATGATGATAATCACGATGGTGCTGATGATGCTATGAGGATGAGGAGGAGGAAACAGGGAGGACGACCACTTCTCTCCTCGGGGTCGCGCCGCAGGCCTGCTGCGAGAGCTGCGAGCGCATCGGTGAGGACATACGGGCCCACCGAGCAAAGGCCGAGGCCGCTCGCCGACCCCGAGGAGTAGGAGGAGGGTGACCCTCTCCTCCTCCGCCTCCTCCTCCTCCTCCTCCTCCGCCTCCTAGCCGTTTCGGCCCGAGCTATTTGTCTGAAGCTCGAGCTTGCGACTACTTCTTTCGAAGCGGCGGTTGGCGCGAATCATATTTTTTCCGTTTCAGGACGGCGCCAGCCCCAGCAGTTTGCGGGCAATGGTGCCGCTTCCAGACGTGCTACCGGGCCCGAAGGCCCTCCTGTGGAGCTGGGCGTCGCGAGTGAAGTGGAGGGCATGCGGGGAAGCAACAACGATTCGCATCGTCCAAGCGGCCAAATGGGCGGCCGCGAATTTCAAGTGCCCCTCCCTCTCGGCAGCTCACAGGAGAGGCCCACAGGGGCCTGGTCCCAAGGCCCGCCGCCCTCGGTCAAGGGGGGTGCGGCGCAGCTGCGCATGCTGCACGAGCTCAGGGTCAAGATGGCGCAAATCACTGGCGAGGAAGTTGCTGCAACGCCGCCCTGGCAGAACAAGAGCAGCGACAAGGCGAAGTGCGAATGCGGCCACAGCAAGTAACCAAGCCAGGCTTCGGCAGACAACAGCGGGAAGGAGCTCACCTTCAAGGCGGTGGCGGAATTCCTTCAGAAGCGAGGCTTGGATTCGAGTGTGGTCGAGGCGGCCGCAGAGGCCAAGGTCAAGGAGCAGGCCGCCAAGCCGCCGTCGAGGCATTCGCTGCGCTGGAAGGTGGAGAACCTACAGGCGAAGTTGCAGAACGCTAGAGGGAGATCCGACGCAACCGAGCTGCAGAAGGCCGAGCTCGAAAAAGAGCTCTTCGAGGTCAGCGACACCATCGCCGCGGTGGGGGCCGAGCTGGACACTGCCAAGGCGGCGCTCGCCAATGCCCAGGCAGGCGAGTTCGCAGATCCAGTGGTGGCCCTCACTGCGGGGCTGGACCAGAAGGTGCTGGAGTCCCAGCGGGGCAAGGAGGCTCTCGAGGTGCTCTCGGAGCTCCACCTCCAGGCCCGTGCTGAGGCGAAGGCCAAGGCAGCGGGCGCGGCGGCAGCCAGTGGGAGCGGCGGTGGCCCCCTTGCTGCTGGTGACCCAGCTAGCGACGATGATGGCGTCGACGTGCCTGTGGACATCGACCTGGACCCCCTCGGCGACGACTTTTGAGGCCAAGTAAGCAGCCTTCAAGGCAGCGGGCGAGGCGCTTCGCAGCGCCGCAGCCGAAAACCGAGACGACGCCAAGCTCAAGTGTGCCCAAGCCGCTGCGGCGCTGTTGATCAAGCGCGCGCGGCGGGTTTGTCCTGCCGCGCCCGGGGGGCTGCCGAGGGATGGCCGACGTGCTCGCCTCATGAAATTCCAATGTCGTGGACGAGGAGTGGCCTGAGCTGGGCTTCCGAGTCCCAGCGCTGAGGCGCTTGAGAGCATCGTCGGCGACGCGGGGGGGCAGATCGTGGACGGCTTCCTCCTGGTGCACTCGCCCGAACTGAGATAGTGGAGACCCCCCTGCGCCCGGGGGGGATCGCTGGAGGTCGGGCAGCAGTCGCCAGCGCGCGGGCCGAGGGCCGCGTCGGCATCAGGTTCCGCGACGACTGGTAACAGTCGGGCTCCCCGCGCGGACAGCCTCACAAAGTTTTGCGGGCAGCTTTTGCAAAATTGCCCGAAGCGACCTGAGTGGTGCTGGTCGGCTCGGCTGCGTTGGCCGAGTCGGCTTCGCCTCCCCCCTCCCCATGCGGCGCTCGACGCAGGCTCGAAGAGCAAGTTCCGGACGCCCCAGTTCGCAGAGATGGGCCTTTACTTCCCCGGGCGGCCGTGGACATTCCCCTGGGCCAGGGACAAGTACGACGGCGGGTGCGAGTGGTTCTTCGTCTTCGGCGGTCGGGGCGGGGCAGCCGTGGCCTCGCGGGGGGCGCGGCCAAGACCGGGGGCGCCCCGTGCATGGGGATGGCCGGCTGCGACCTGGCGTGGCTGGGCGCGGCGATAGCACGGAAGAGCGCAGGGGCCCGGCGGTTTCGCCCGACCGCGTTCCCCAGGTGGTCAGGGACATGCATTCTCCTGGACTGGGGGCAAGACCCACGGCGTGCGCCAGTTCTTCTTCAAGGGTGGCCAAGGCGGGGCAGCCGCCGCTCCACGTGGGAGGCGACCCTGGCCAGGCTTGTCCAGTACTTGGAGATGACGGGCTGCGACCGGGCGCGGCTGGCTGGGCGCGGCGACGCCGCGGAAGAGCGCAGGGGCCTGGCGGCTTCGCCCGGTCGCGTGGTGACAACGGTCAGAGACTTCCCGCGGTTTGGAGTCAGCGCCTGCTCGTGGGATTCGTTCGCCAGCGCGGCGGGGTGGAGCCGCGGCCGGGGCGGCGACTTGTCCGGGCAGACCGCCAACAACGGCGAGGTGCGTCGCCCGCGTGCGCTGGGCGCGCAGGAAACGGGGTTGAAGGCGAAAGGCAAGTTGGACTCCGCTGGCGGCCGGGGTGATCGCCGCTCCTGCCCATTCTCTCTCTGCCCAGCCCTCTTGACGGTTCCAGAGCCGACGCAGTCATCGGCTTGTGTTGGCCTGGCCACCTCGGAGGCCTTAGAATCTGCTGTGCCGAGGTCACCCGAGTTGGGCTCATCAATGTGGGGCTCATCAATGTGGGGCTGCCAGGAGGGCCCGTGGCTATTTCGGTTTGCCTTTTCACCAGCATTGGGATGTCTGTGGAGAACGTCGACCCCATGAATGCCCTTGGCGAGTTCCTGACATCCCGGGCTTGCCTCTGGATTATCCAAGCCGATTGGAACTGCGCCCCTGGGTGGCTCGAGGATTCCTGATGGGTCCAGAGGATCGGGGGCGTCGCGCTCTCTGCTGGGACGTCGACGCGCGCATCGGGGCCTGCCCCAGGGGCTCAGCCAGATCATGCGGAGGGAGAGTTGGACAGGAAGGGCGAGAGGGATATCGCTCTCTTCGTGAGTACTCGGTGTCTTGGGGATTGCGTCCGATAGGTGAGGGCGACCCCGCAGGCCCCGCGTTGGCCCCGCATGCCCATTGGTCTCGCGATGTCTTGTTTGGCTCCCGCCGCGGTCGTTGCGGAGTAGGTCAGGCACGTCCAGTTCCATGTGGGAGTCGTCGTGGGGCCACCCAGGTGAACAGCGATTGGTTTCTGGTCTTAGGGAGCTGGAGGCGCTTCGGGATGTCCTGGGTACATGGTCCGCGAGTGGTTCGCGCAGGCGGAGTTTTGGCTGGGGGCGCGCCGTGACCTAGGCAGCGCCAGCACCTCGAAGTGTTGTGGGTGAGCCTCTGGGCCGAGGACGGTCCACGTACCTCTCGAGACCATCTGGGCCAGGGAATCGCGCGGGAGGTTCTCGGGGGACCGCGCGGTGGAGGTCTTGCGAGGCTACATCCCGTCGGGGGGCCCATCTCGGTCGAGCGGGTCGAGGGCGCGTTGCGCGTGCATCTATCTCCTTCTATTTATCCCGGCAGAGCAACCGAACAGCGATGTGTATAAGCATATCTGGAAGCATTCCCCTTAAGACTCAGGTGGGTCCAGTTGTAGAATCCTGCTGTTCTTGCAGTCGCAGTCGCATTCGCAATGCCAGTCGCATGGCAACGGCCTTAGGACCCAATGGGATCCGAAGGATTCCTTGGATTCCTAAGGCACCCTTAGGAATCCATAGGAATCCGTAGGAAACCGGAGGACTCCTTGGGAATCCGGATTCCTAGGGATTCCTAAGATTCCTAGGGAATCCCGAGGATTCCTATGGATTCCTGAGGATGCTTGACTATGCTTACGGATTTCTAAGGATGCCTACGGACTCCTAAGGATTCCCATGGATTCCTACGAATGCTTCAGCCTGCCTCAGCTTCAGCCTCTCAGCCTCGGCTTGCCTCAGCCTCAGCCTCAGCCTGCCTCGGCCTCAGCTTCAGCCTGCCTCAGCCTCAGCCTCAGCCTCAGCCTGCCTCGGCCTCGGCCTGCGTCAGACTCAGCCCCAGCCTGCCACGCAACTGAGGCCCCAGAGGCCAGGCGCCATGAAGGCAAATCTTGAAGCGCCCTGGATCCCCGCAACTGGGCCTCCAGAGGCCGGGACCGCTGAGGAAAACCTTGCGTATCCTTCCTCGAACTCCTCCCCCCTCCCCCCCCCCCTCCCCCCCCCCTCCCCAGCTGCCATTTCCTCCCGAACCAACATTCAGCAGCGGCAGCGACCCCAAAGGTCCCAGAGAGACCTAGCGTTCACTCACCTTTACCCGCCTGGCTCGGCCACCGATGCGTCTGGCGAGCCTACGCGGGAGGCTGATGGTGGGTATCTTGCGCGTCGCCCTCTACGAGCCCCTTTCCCTCGTGTCCGCAGGCCGTTTGAGACAGACCACAGAGACCATGAACTGCGACCTGATATTGCTGCCGGGGACGAGGGTGAGAGAGTGGTCAGGCCGAGACTATCACACCGAGAACATCGGAAACAAGTTTGCAGCGATACACTATGGATGGGAACGAGCTCCCTTCAGTAACAATAGCGCGGGGGCGTGCATAGTATTAGGTCGTCGTCTCAAACGTCAGCACGTGCTTGCTGTGCATGCTGGCCCCCGAAGTATTGCGGGCAGATTGTGTGAAATACGAATTCAGAGTGGAAGCGTAGACATTGCGGCAATTTGCGCATACCCCCCACCGACCTATGCGAGCGGGCGCAGAAAGCGTGCCCAGATACAGGCGGCGACGACGGTCGTGACATATATGCGACAGAGAAACGAACAAACACGAGCAAGGAGTACCCCGACATGTGGCGTAGACATCAACACCAGTAGATGTAGATCAAGACCTCTTGGGGCCCCATCATCTTCGACCAAATGGCCCCGCGGGGGAGATTTTTTCGAGCGTGCTTATCGACCTCGGGTTTGTGCCACCAGGGATGTTTTGGCCAAATTCAGGGCCCACTTACTACGGAGCCCAGGGAGCCAAAGCTACTCTGGGCGTCTTCGCCATTCCTAAGGGCCTGGGACCAGGTACAAGACATTGTAATGTGGCATGGCAGGCAGGACGAAGTCT